GTTTTATCCCCATTACTGTGGGCTACGCTTATTGACGACCTACTTAATACACTGTCCAGGGAGGGTTTTTACTGCCTGGGTTATGCGGACGATTTGGTAATTGTAGTCCGAGGACGCTTTACCAAAATAATTTCGGAGAGACTTCAAGTCGCTCTGAGGATGGTGGACAGCTGGTGTGAGGAAGAAGGCCTGAAGGTTAACCCTAAAAAAAACATCTGTTGTTCCCTTCACCAGGAAAAGAGCACTGCAAGGCTTACAACCACTAGCGCTCAAGGGAGTAGAAATCCCATTCACAAGTCAGGCCAAGTACTTAGGTGTAATATTCGACCAGAGGCTGACATGGAATGCACACATTCAGAAAGTCACACAGAAGGCCACTATGGCCCTGAACACATGTAGACGAATGTGTGGTAAGAATTGGGGGTTAAATCCTAAAATGAACCTCTGGTTATACACAAGGGGTTATAAGGCCCATGATAACTTATGGTTCAGTGGCGTGGTGGAACAAAACGCAACAGTCCGGGGCGATTCGATTGCTCAGTAGCACACAAAGGCTTGCATGCTTGAGTGTTACAGGAGCCATGAGAACAGCCCCAACGGACGCGCTAGAAGTTCTGCTAAACCTACCACCTCTACATATATACATACAGAGTGAAGCCAGATCAACAGTACATCGGTTGATCCAAGGCCAAGCTCCAATAAGTATGATGCAGGGAGCTGATAACTTAAGGCTATACCAGGACATAAAGGCAGACCCCGTTCTAGGAATGCCTGTAGACCGAATGGTTACGAGGTATAGTTTTAACAAAAATTTTCAAATTACAATACCAAAAAGAGAGGACTGGGAAACTGGTCCGCCGCTAACAGCAAACTCAATATGGTATACGGACGGCTCCAAAACGGATACAGGTACGGGGGCTGGAATATATGGCATAAAACCAAGGACGGAAGTCCGGGTATGTCTAGGAACATACGCGACCGTATTTCAAGCCGAATTAGCTGCTATACACAGGTGCGCTATGGAACTAATCGGCCGAAATGTAGATAACGACTCCATCGTTATCTATTCGGATAGTCAAGCGGCTCTAAAGGCTCTCAGTTCGGTACAGGTCGATTCATGGCTGGTATGGAACTGTTTGGATGTCCTCTCTCAGGTAGGAAGTCGAAACAGGTTGACACTTGCCTGGGTGCCGGGACATAAGGGCCATCGTGGCAACGAGAAGGCCGACGAATTGGCCCGAGAAGGCGCATCTACGCCACTGGTTGGTCCGGAACCCTTCTTTGGAATCGCAAATACGATAAAAAGGGCAGCCATACACAAATGGGTGCAACAGAAGTCTCTTGAGTGGTGGAACAACTCACCAGGACAGAGGCAGGCCAAACAGTTCATCAAAGAACATTCGGCTAAATTTACAGCAGACTTACTTTCGCACAGACGCAGGACTGTCAGAATGATAGTGGGTCTGCTCACTGGGCACTGTAGACTCAATAGACACTTGAGTCTCATAGGCCTGACAGAAGAGGACACCTGTCGTTTCTGTCTGGAAGAAGAGGAAACTGCTCTACACGTTCTGTGCCATTGCGAAGGTCTCGCACGAATGCGGTTTCTAGAACTCGGAGAGGAAAAACCGGAAGCACCAGGCTACATGAAAAGGCCACTATCAAGGCTGTTGAGTCTCATTAAGAGGACCAAGCTAGATGAAGTGCTTTAAAATAAGGGGGGAACACAATAGATCTGCAAAGGTCGCAGTGCATCAGGCTCTATTGGCCGCCCCATTTTCTACATTCTACATTCTAAATTATAACAACTAAATATATATATATATATATATATATATATATTATATATATATATATATATATATATATATATATATATATATATATATAGCAAATTGATTATCTCGTGGCGTCTACGTCATATTTGCGCGCAGGGCAAAGTCCGACAGGAGCTGTATAAGTGAATTGTAAAAACATGGGTTTAAACGTAGTACAGTGGAATTTCTAATTGAATTGGGAACAAACTTAAGTTAGCGGAATTAATTTATTTAAACCTGATTTATATGTTTTTGAGAAAAATATTAATATTTTTGTAGAAAAAATTTGATTGCAATAATTATCGTAATTAATTAATGTAAAACGTATTTGGATGTAACTTGCATATTTTATGGAAAAAATATTCTTTTGTATAACATTTAAATATAGTTTTAAGAAAATATAATTTGTTATAACAACAAGTATTATGCAGTTCTGTAACAAATGGTTGTTTGTGGCATGAAGCAAGTGTGTTTATATAAATGTTTTTATTGTTGTATTTGACCACAGTATATTTTGTCTATATAGCTATAGACTCATCATATGTTTGTGTCATGGTAACATTTTTTCTTCATTATAACACATATATTTTAGCAGTGATAACATGCTCAAATTAAAATACCGTAACAAATAATTGCTATGCTAGTTAACACTAAGTGATTTAGAAAAAACGTTTTAAACTAGCTTTTTCTAGTAATGCAACTTGACTTTAATTTTGTATATTACCATTAATGTTTCGACTAGCTGTATTCACTGATATTCTTGAAAATAAATACTGATAATAAGTTACTCCTATACTCCTAACATAAATCTGTAATTATGAAAAAAATTAGACTTTGCGTTAAGTTACCAAAGACAGCACATAAAATATGTTAGTTCAACAAATACGTCTCCTGAAAGAACAAATCAACAACAGTGAATCGGTTATTATAACACTGAGTAGAAAACTTTTATTAGATAGGTATTACTCATTCGTTATAAATAACTTTGTACAAATAACAATGTAAATAAAAATATATTTACGGCAAATAGAAAATTGTTAAACTCTTCAATAAACTGTTAATTCAAAAAAGTTTTTATATTTAATACCTAACTTACACACTAACTTTACTAGACACTTAGTACCTAACTACACACTATTTTTACTAGACTAATTATTAAACGTTGTGTAGAAGCGATCCGTTTGCTTCGGTTGATAGAAAATTTGTGGCAATGCTTTTAGATCCGTTAGTAACCACGACCGTCAGACGAATATCGGCCGTTGGCGCACGATGACGTACACGCCACGAGATAATCCACAGGCTTTACATTACAACTATATATATATATATATATATATATATATATATATTATATATATATATATATATATATATATATATATATATATATTATATATATATATATATATATAACTATATATATAATTTTAAATATATACTACCCAAAATTTTATGGGTTTAGTATACACTTCCACTATTTAGAATAATTCTTCTTTTTTTCAAAGTACGAAGTTTGCAATAGTATTATACAATGACGTATAATATATAGACTCGGTGAACGCTTTAAAAAGTGTCCAAAACATGAATACCTTTGTTATTGTTTATTGTTTTGATACGAAGATGCACGAAGTTCATATTTCTTACGAAGCATCATGAAGTTGATCTTGTGTTTGAAAACATCATGGACGTACTCCATTTTGTGTGACAAGCAAATTTTATTTTAAATTGTTGATAGTTATTTACTTACTATTTTAGTAAAATGCCATACTATTTTATCAAAATAATTATTTCTCTTACGGGAACAAAAAGAAATCATAAATATTTAATTTTAATTAAAAAAATAATTATTGTCATTAACATATAAATGAGCACGCCGCTGTTCTAATAAACATACCTTCAACCTTGAGCCGAGATCTTTCGGACACTCGATTCTATAGCGAGAATAGGGGACTGCGTAGTCTATATATTATACGTCATTGGTATTATACTTGAGCTATTAATACTGAGAAGTAGGAATTGTTGTGCTGTAGGTTTCCGACAATGAATCTGTCAAAATATGCCCGAGCTAAGCGAATGGAGTATATTGTCTATTCGCTTAGCTAGGGCATATTTTGACAGACTCATTGTAGGAAACCTACAACACAACAATTCCTACTTCTCAGTATAAATAGCTCAAGTATACTACTATTGCAGACCTCTTTCTTTGAAAAAAAGAAGAATTATTCTAAATAGTGGAAGTGTATACTAAACCCATCAAATTTTCCCTGTATATTTAAAATATAATATTTGAATTGTTACAATTTAAAATATTGTAGTATATATTTGTATTATTCGCGTTGTTTATTTAATTTAATATTGTTTTATTATCTTTGTTTAATTCTTTTGTTAGTTCTATTCAGTTAATTAGTTAGTTATATTTTAAATTTTATTATTATGGATAGTCAAAGTTTTCCATTTGTTCCATCAGCTAATGCGTTGGTAAGTTTTTCTTAAATAAATATGATAAAATGTTTTTTAAAAAATTTTTTTTTAAAGTTAATATTTTTAGATTAGTAAGGATGCTGTTCCTAGATTACAAGGTAATAAAACTGCACAAAGGTTTATTTAAGATGCCTACCATTTTTTTTACCGAATGAAAACCCTGTTGAGGTAAGTTGATCATTAAAATGTATTTATCGAATTATGTAAATGTTGTAAATACATAAGGAACTTGCTGTGTCTTATTCTTATTTAACCTCACTTTGACTTCTTAATTTTGTAGAATTTCTTCCCACTTTTTTATTTTGTACAATAAATAATTTTATTATTTGTTATCAATACATTATACGGTGTAAATAAATAAATATTGATTGTCAGCAAAGTTCTATTTTATTTACTTTTGTTTACATTATTATTGACTAAGAGCACGTATGCTTGGTTGTATAGTATTTTCCAGCCACTTCGAGTCTGTCAAAATGTTACTAACTTCGAAAAAAAATAATTACTAAAATCACTAGACAGTTGGGTATACCTACTGTTTCCGAACACTGTCTAGTAGCGCCGCCGCCATTATGAACGGCTGGGCCCAGGCAACTCACTCTCTCCACTTGTTTTATTCCACTTAACTACTATTTGTGGTACATACTGTAGTAGTCAACACAACAACACGTGGTTAACGGAAGTAAAGGTGGCTGTGGGTTAACACAAAAAGACAGTCAAAGTGTTTGTGTTTACTGGTTGCTGCGATTTGCAAGGAATATAGACTTATAGACGCATGTTTGTATTGGTTGATAACAAAATAATTGCAATGACTACCTTTATTGTTGTTCCAGAGAGCAAATTAACTTGTGACCAAATGCGGGAAGAATTTTGGAACCTTAGTTTGCTTGCACCTTTAGTTAATGATGTATATGATTGTATAGTGTGGGCCGCATTGCGTAATTTAATTAAAAATAGTGTATTCTGTAACATGTGCAATATAAGTAAGACATTTGTTAAACGTACTAACTGCATAAACCAATATATGTGGAAATGTAAAGGGTGTTCGAAGTCCACATCTATACGCGATGGATCGTTTTTTGCGCAAAGTCATCTAACCATTTCCCAAATTATAATAGTGATTTATGGATTTGCAAATGAGTTCTCACAGAAACTAATCTGCAGAGAAGCAATGCTGTGTAGCAGATCTAGTACTGTTAACGTTTGGTTAAATTTGTGCCGTAAAGTTTGCACCAAATATTTCGAGCAACATCCCGTAGAACTAGGGGGATTCAATGAGGACGGAGAATCACGCACAGTGGAACTTAACGAATTTCATTACAGGAAAGTGCAATGGGTTTTTGGGGAAGTAGAAAGGAAAACTGGAAAATTGTTCCTTACTCCAGTGCAAGCACGGAACGAAGAGACCCTGTTGCCCATTATATCAAGGTATGTTAATATTACAAATATTTAGTCATAGAATAAAGTAATATTCTTTTTAGAACTATTCTACCAGGAACAGTAATTGTTACTGATGGATGGGAAGCGTACAGAAACATTGGTCTCCTGGGTGGAGGGGTGTATGAGCACCGAACTGTTCTTCAGAATTACTTCGTAGATCCACATGATAAAAGTATTCATAAACAAACCATTGAAAGCGTTTGGATGCGTGTCAAGAAGATGCTCAATAGACAGTATAGAACTTCCACAGACCTCCACCTACTTCCACAGTACCTCCAAGAATTTATGTGGAGGGAACGGATGAAAAAAAAAGACCAATTTGTGGAATTTTTAATATGTGTATCAGAACAATTTTTAGTTTAGTCAAATTTAAGTATAAGCTAGTGTATTCTTTTGTTAATTATTTTCATATGTTAGTTTGTTCATTTAACTAAGTTAGTTTATTCTTATTACTTTTGTTCTGAAAGTATGTTCAGTGTATATGCTATTTTTGTTATTATTATGTTAATTATCCACAGTTATCTACAACATATTCCTTTTAATGCTTCAACCACCAGATTGGCAGCCGTTATTAAAATAATTACACAAATTTTTCAAATTTAAAATTACAAGATGTAAATCTTATATTTCTTTGGTGACAGCTTGTGGATTATTCTCATATACACACATCAAAATGGTCTAAGGGATAAGAAATGAAAGTTGTTTACTTTCAAGAAGCAATATTTTCGTGTTAAAATTAAATTTGTTTATTATTAGTTGTACATATCTTAAAATCTCAATTTACTATATTGGTTTGTGTTTGCTGATCTTAAAAAAAGCTAATTTTTCTATTCAACTTAAAAGTATATTCAGTACAATTTTTGCTGCAAGTGTGGTTAGAATTTTTTGTTATTGTGGTTTAAACTAAATTAATATGCAAATAAATCATCTTGATCATGAAACACAGCTACAACCTATTGGTATAATACAGGGTGGTATGAATATCTGCGACATGGCAGAGTGTGCATTCCACCAAAAATACTGTAGGACAGTTATTTCAGCGTTTTCAAGAAGCTGGTGATGTCAGAAAAGGTCACACTGGTCCAACAAGAGCAACACAACCAGCAAATGACAGGTTTGTTTTCCTTCAGGCATTAAGGAACCCCAATGTTACAGCTAGCTAGCTAAGAAGTAAGCTTCAAAACATTTATGGCATTAATGTTTCTGCTCAAACTGTCAGGAATAGGTTGCATGAGGGTAATCTTCACACTAGATGTCCCATTAGAGTTTCAGTATTATCCTGTGGGAATTGCATAAGGAGATTAGAATGGGCAGAAGAACATCAAATTTGGCAACAAACAACAAGAATGTGCAAACATACTTTTCACAGATGAATCCAGGTTTAGTTTATGACCTGTTTCATGAAGATCATGGCGAACATCGGGCAATGCATCTTGCTTGTAAACCGTTCAAGAAGTTGACAGACATCAAGGAGGAATTTTGATGGTTTGAGCTGGATTTTCAAACTGATCTCGTTCATATTGAAGGATTTTTAACAGCAAATAAATATCAAGATCATATTCTTGAACCTATTGTTAGTCCATATTCTGCACAATTCGGAGAAAACTGTTAGAAAATTTTTAGAGCAGAACAATATTCAGGTATTGCCCTGGCCTGCTCAATCCCCTGACTTAAATCCCATTGAGCAGGTTTGGAATATGTGTACAACAGCTAGGATTAGTGTTCCAGACAAGGGAAGAGCTGCTAAACTATATGCAAAAGCAATGTTTTATATGCAAAATCTTTGTCAATTTTTTAAACCTTCTGTATACCACGACCAGTAATGCTATTCACAATTTATTGTTAAGCAGCAGCCAGATTTGTTGAATTTCACTTTTTTTACAAATAAATTGTCAAATTACCATTTAATTACTCTTTGATTACTTTGTCCTCTAGATAATTTTGATGTGTATAGATAATAACAAAAATAGTTTGTCTTCATTTTTTAACAAATTTATGAAACTTTGATTAAAGGTACTATTACCATGTAGAATGCTAAAAAATGACACATGTCCAATATCTTCTTCACAAAAATTTTTATTATTTTTTTTTTTGGTCAAATTGTGGTAAACTATAGAGAAAATCAAAACAAACAAATTGCATCAAGGTTTATCAAAATCGACTGACTAGATCTGGAGATTAAAGATTTGAGAAAAACTATGTTTTTAAAACTGGCTGACAGTTATCTACAGATCTAGTAGGTCGATTTTAATAAACCTTGATGGATTTTGTTTGTTTTGGTTTTCTCTATGATAGTTATCACAATTTGACAAAAAAAATAATAATAAAATGTTTGTGATTTAAAAAAGTTGAAAAAAAGGTCAATCTTTGAACAGTTTTTTCAAATGTCAGCTATTTTATTGTTTTTTAAGAATTTTCAATTTTTCTGGTAAACTATCACGCAAGGGTACTTCTTTTTTAGAGCCCTTCTCGAATTTTAGATTTGCTGTTCCAGAGATTAACTGTCCGCCATGGAGCAGTAATTTTTGGCGCCATCTTCAAAATAAAAGAACAATGATAAAATGTTTGTAATTTTCAAAAGTTGTATAATAATATAAATAAGTTTGATGGCCATATACAGTTGTGGTAATCTAAAAACTGTATATAACATGCATAATTAGAAAAGAACAGTATGACATTGTACTGTTAACAGAGAGAGAGACCCAATATGGTATACAATTAGTACGGACATACAAGCTTGGTTTTAACACCCATTAGATTGAATTCTAGTTATATCAAAGTAACATTCAGTTTTGATAACGGAAACGTCAAATATACATTTATTTTTTTATTAGTAATAATTCTGGTTTTATTCGCAAAAAAAAACAGAAAGAAATTGATATTTCAAGTTAAGGAAAATGGTAACCTTTACAACTGAACATAAAATTCAAATTATTAAAAGTATTATTCTGGAATCTACAATTCACATTATTTTTAAATGTGAAAAATCTGGTTGTGTCAAGAATTGTAGAAAAAGCACGGATAGTGATGAAGATGAAAATAAACCAGCTCGTGAAATTAATGAAGAACGAGAACAGCGAAAAACTGCCGTACCCATGTAGTCTAGCAGAAATAAATTTTCCTTGTAACAGCACCCTAATTTGAAGAGAAACTAGTATTAGTGCTAGAACTGTACGAAATATTAAAAAAAAACAAGTACCATTCCTACAAATCCCAAAAAACTCAGGAAATTTTCCGTGCTGATTATGAATGTCGGATGGTGTTTTTTGGATGAAACGCACTAATCGTGACGAAGATTTCATATTGTTCTGAAGAGAACGATTTCCGAAGTTGAAATTAAAACGTCAATAAACGTACTTTAACCTTTAATTGTGGCTTATTCCCATTTAAATAGAAGATTTCATGATAAAAATCTTGTTTACAGACAAGTCTTCTTTTTCTTTAACTGGCCATCACAATATATCCGTTACCGTACGGCACTCTACAGAAAATAGGCACATAAGTGTTCCGTATAAAACACAATAAGTACCGTCAAAAAGTCAACGTCTGGGCTGGTATTTTAGGTGACAACGTAATTGGCCCTGTTTTCATTGGAGAAACTTTGTGTCGTCGTAAATACCTAGATGTCCCGAGAAATCATATAATTCGAGCAGTTCGAGCATTACCTATTAATATGGATGAAATTTGGTTGCAACAAGACGGACCATCTCGCTCTCCTGATCTTACACCTTTGGACTTTTTCGTATGGGATTATGTGAAGCAACAAATTTACCAACATGAGCATGAACGTGTCTGCAATTTAGACGAATTACGTGAAACAATCATTCAGGTCTTTCAAATCATACTACCCAAAATGTTATCGAACACCAAAGGCAATTATACAATAGATAGGGTGCTAGGATGCTTTGCTGAACGTGGTGGACTTTTTGAAAATTTAATTTAAAATAGTTTTAATTAAAATTATAAAATTCTCATTTTTTAGAATAGTTTTAATTTATGCGGTTAAGAATTTATTTGGTTTTTTTTTATAATTTGAGATTAAAGAAACTGTTGATTTAATCCAGGATATGGGCATGCTTTTAAATCTTGTAATCACATCGTTGAAATATTTCTCCAGACCATCTAAAAAATAAACTTTTTTTGCCATAATGTACAGACAAGACTGTCCATAGTCACAGAATAATAAACATTGTTTATTTGAATAATAAAATTGTTTATTATTCTGTGCCGTAGTGCTTACGGGTCTATCACAGACATGTGGTTACATGTTATTTTCTCGGACAATGTTTTTCTCAGTTTGTTGCGTTGTCTTAATGCCCTAGATTCAGATAATTTTTTTCCATACCTGTATAATAGATAGACAAAAAAATTGGTGAAAATGTGGCATTTTTTAGCGTTCTACATGGTAATAGTCCCTTAAAAACCATTAGCATTTATCCTCTTTTACGTTTTTGTATACATTTTTTATACTGATGTTTTACTATTTAGTTTCTAAAACTTAATTTTTTTGTTTCTACACTAAACTCCTGGACAAAATTAACGCACCACTCAATATTTTTCTCAATAATCTTTATTTATTGATAATTTACTGTACGACAAGGTGCCTGTGGACCTTGTTTGACAGTGACAGTTGTTATGTAAGATAATAATAGTCTTGTTTTAACAATAAATTGTATTAAACTTCGTTTTAGAGTAAAAGTGAGTTAAACTTTTCATAAAAAGTGCTGACTAAAGCAAAGTGCTTTTGAGAAACAAGCTTTTTATTGTGATATTGTTCATCATATGCATGTTTGGAAGTTCATACAACCAACTCATTGAGGCCGTTATTGAAGAATTGGAGAATGTTCCGCAAGCTTTTGTTGAACATTTTATATCAAGCATGCCTCGACGCATAAATGCAGGCATAAGAAGTAGAGGAGGGGCTACACGGTATTAGTGTTGACCCAGATGCATTTTATTGAGTTACTTTACTGATTTTTTTGCATTTGGAGTTATGCTAGCTTATTTACGCATTTCCGGCAAAAACAGTTTTTTAAAGAAACAAAAAGGCAAATTAATTAAAGTCATGTTGGACTTATTGGACTTATTTGTAGGTGTTTATTATTATTTCAATGTAACTTAGTTTTATTTTGTGTTCATATTGTAAATATTTAGATTAATCAAAGTGGTGCGTTAATTTTGTTCAGGAGTTTATATATATATATATATATATATATATATATATATATTATATATATATATATATATATTATATATATATATATATATATAAATATTAATTAGTGGATTTTCTTGGGCTTAGCTTCATAAAAGACATTTTCATATTTTTTTTTTCGGCGTTTCGGCAGGAAATCTGACTTTTTCAAGAAGTAATATTGACTAAAAAACATTCTATCAAAGACAATACGGTTTAAAAGTGAAACTTTTGACTTACCAAGCATACAGGTAGACATAGACATCACAATTAAAATAATATTAAAATCATAGGACAGGCCCACTAAGTCACATGTAAAATATATTTTATATCTAATATGTTGTTTATTGATGTTAGTTTATCGTTTAAACAATCAGTTATTTTAACATTATAGGCGTTCTGAGATTATCTTTTTGTATGTTTTTAAATTAAAATAAAATATATTTTGTTTAAATTATTGACATCTTTTTTAACATTTATTACGTTATT